CAAGGCAGGATTGCAACTTGTGCAGCAATAACGCCCTTGTAAACATGGAACTTTCCTCTCATGTCTCTCACAGTTTCTTGGCTACTGTGTGCCCTTGACGTCATGGACTGGTGATTGGGTGCCATTGGGGTGAGCAAAGACACTCTGTTGGCACACACACGCTCAACATCGCCAACAAGGTAACAGAGACCTGCACTACCATGGTGAGGCAATCAAACACACAATGGATTCTCAGACGATTTTGTGGCCCACTAAACTGCAGTTGGGGCATTTGGGACAGAACAGGCTCACGTGTGACGCCCAAATCAAACAATGAAGCTGGACATATTGCATTCTGCACCCTCAAGGTCTTTGGGCAATGCTTGCTAAAATTTGCGCCAATGAGATTGAACAAATTCTACAAAACTACCAAATTGGTCACTGCACCCTGCAAAAATACGTGAGATTCGAGTAAACAGAACTGACAGAATGTTTTTAGTCATACTGACTAATACAGCAGGACTGCGGAGTGGATTGGTAGTGTCCAGATCACCCGGACACATGTGTTTACCTGCTAAATTTTACTCCTGGACAAGCGTAATAATGGCAGCCGCCCTGTTTAGATTGCAGTGAACAAAAAGCCATGGAGTGCCACGAGTCCATCATGTGCTGATGGATCATCAACAGATCCACAATCTCAACGTGAGTCCTTCAAAAGGACCAAATGCTGTCCACCTCAGCTGGTAGGTCAGATGAGGTTCACAATTTATGCACAACTAAAGTTTCCACAATGGATGGCTGCCCGCAGTACGTCATCTGTGATCAAAAGTTTACAAGTTTGGCAACATGACGACGTGCAGTTGGCCCAATAGAGCAATGAATGGCAACAACAAATGCCCAGCAGCAGGGCGTCCCAATCCTCCACGTCCCCATTGACTGTGGACCTGAAATCGTCCTGAAACCTCTGAAATTCTCAGGAATATCCATCCTGACACTGCCAACGACTGTAGCAGGCTGCCAGCCGGAGCACTTGCACACATCAGCGCCAGTGGCTCGTGTTTCCTGATTCATGCCGATGTTTGTCAGCATTCCTGCACCCTGAAGGCTTGGTACGTTGCGCATTCTGATCGTATTGGCAGATGTGCTGCATGCAAATGTCAGTGGACATTCAATGTAACATCCCGCGTAGCATACGTGGGAAATGTGGGACAATCTAGTGTCCATGCACAAGCCAATCCAAGACCACAATCCTTTCACTGTTGATGCCTCTTTCCGAGCGCAAGGCCTTGTTTCTACCCCGCGCAGGCAACTGCAGCCACAAAGAAGCTCGCAAGGCCGGAGATGGCCCACCTATGAGCCTCATGGCTGGTCGCCTAGTATCCGTTCTTGATCCCACGCCTGCTGATGAGCCGCCCGCCGCGCCCGCTTCCGATGCCTCTGCAGCGGAGTTGGAAACCGTAGGCGGCTGGAGGCAGCAGCGCGGCGGGCGCCGAGCCCAGGCGAAGGAAGGAACGCGACATCAGTGCATCCGTGTCGATGTGTTTGGCGCTGTTGTGTGCAACAGTGGATACCGATACGACAATCGATACGTATCGCAGCGGATCCCTGGCATCCTGCAAAAGTCCTCGAGCCGAGACCGAGACCGAGAATGTGTTGCACGATGTTTCGCTGAAACCGCAGACTTTTAAGGGGTTTGGAGCACGCTAAGTACTAAAATAGCAGGGGCGGCCAGGAGATGGGGAGGTCACCCATCCCCGCTTCACTGGCCATAATCTCATCGGCCTCTGGAGCCCATCCAATCCGGCTGCCTCGCTGGGCCATTGTTGCGGGGTAAGGTCATTGGGTCATGCATTTCCTCGCGAACTCGCAGTGGCCATCCGTGCTCACCCAGGTAGATCGCGCGTGCAGTGGGGCATAAGCGTGCGGGCAGGTGACTGTACGCCAGATGCAAGCATTCATTTATAGCCCATTTACCGCATGTAATGAATCGCCTTGACGATTACATCTACTACATTTCAGCTTATCCCACCGGCTTGCTTTTCTGGTGCATTTACATGGCTTTTGGGCGAAAATACCCCGGCACAGTGACAATCTGAATGATATGAGTAGTTTTGAAGACAAGCATTGCTTCTCCTTCCACACTTAGTTCTCACTCTTCACCACTAGTTCTTTTGAGAATTTTAATAGCTAACATCCCCAACTTCACATCAAATTACCTACAAATACTCCTGCTGGTACTCAAGACAAGTTTGCTTCTCTAAAGCTAAAGGCAATCATATAGACCTATCTATAGGATATGGGGTCCGAAAGGCGTACACCCAGACATTTTGCACTTCATCAAAAACATAAAAACCTCTGTTTGCCCCCAGGCTGACATAAGAACCCGCTACGAAGTGGGTGGTGGACCGATGCCAGCGCTCTTGCCCAATAACGTCCCATGCGCCCTGACCGATCCGCTGGTCATTGACCGGGCGGACCCCGCCAACCTCTCGACGCCCCCCATCTCGGCTCGTGATACCCGGCCACTTTCCAGCACGGCGCGACCTTGCGCCCCAAGGCGCTCCTCCATCGGCAACGTCATGGCCACCGGCGGGCAATCTGATGCCTCCAGCAGGTGGGGCCGTCCCCCCACCGCCTCCGCCTGCACGTCGGTCTCACTCAGAGCCAATCCCTCCAGCCTCAAACCAATGCCAATCACTTCGTGTTGCTTGGCCGACAACAGCGCTTCACTACCCGCCACCCTCGGGGACGATTCTTCTTCAAACATTCCCGGTTCGGACAAAATCTAAGTGAATGGCGACGCTCGCCCATCGCCGTTCGGGAACCCCACCAAGTGCAGCCCCTCCAATCTGCCCCTTTCTAGCCGGCGCAGAATTGCGTCCAGCTTGCTTTCCATGTTGCGCAGTCATTCCGCATTTTCCTCCACCTTTCGTGCAAGCATATCCATCCCAACCGGCCTGCCCGTCCGCTTGGTTGGATCACTCGATCCCGTTTCGCCGGTCAGCACCCAATCGGCTTCAGGAACTCGCCCATCCTGGTCGCTCCTCTGGGTCATAGCTGTGGGTCCAGGTCACACAGCTCCGCACTTCCTTGCGAACTCACAGTCACTGGTCGTGTCCACCCGGGGAGGTCACGCGCACATGGAGGGCAGCAACTTGCATACAGCTGACCGCCTGTTGGATGTAATGGCTCATTTCCATATAGATTGAAAGCATTTGATGATTATATCATATCCTGCTCCGTTTTGACTTGAGTTACATCCTACTGGCTCAGTTTACCACCATGCTGACGTTGTTGGCAGACTATTGATGATGCAGTGACAAACCCGGTCGGTCTAAAGGCAAACAAGATGTTCCCTTTACATTAATTTCGCTCTTTCTTCGATTCTTCTTTTTCCCTGAACTTTGACACTACGCTGTCTAGTTGCCTACACAGACGACAAAATCTGCATAAGGAAAGTGCGCCAGCATGCCAGTCACGCGAAATTTGCAAACGCTTGAATTCTCTGGTGGGAAATAGCCTACAGGATGCAGCAGCGAATGCAAGACATGGTGCAGTCTTAAAGTAGGGTTCAGCGTGAAGGCCCTCGTTTTCCCTCATTGCCGCCAAATTTGTGCTGACAGAAATCCAGAGAACTGGCCAGCTGGCTGCCAGAGATCTGGGAGCCAAGGGCTGTTCATGCGTGGAACACCTGCTCCAAAGGTCTTCAAGTACCGAAAGGGTAGCAAGAATAAGGAACCACGCTGTGTGGATGGATCCTGGCCAAGGTGTGTGTTGGGTGCTGATCAGTCCCAAACCATGGCAGCGCATTCCCCTGGAAGGTCGTGGGCATCGTGGCAACAAATATGTGTCCAGTTGTTGGCGCGAAGACCGCATTGCCCATGTCATGACATCACTGCACGACGATGGGGCATCGGCACCATATGGATCTCCAAGCTCACAATAGGGGAGGTCCAGAAGGCAGAGGCAGCAGCATCTGGGGACATGGCCTGGATTGCTGTGAACAGCGCGTGGGTCTCATAACACGATCACTGTGGCTGTGATGCACGTGCACGAATGACCCGTGCCATATTGGCAATGCTGGATTGGGGCGGCTCATGTCTTTGCATGGCGGATTCTTGCGTGTTGGACAATATTCAGGCGAGTTTCGGGTATTACCTTACTGCGGTATGCATTGCGTTGGGGGGCAGGAGAGTGCTTTGTGGCACACGTTATGAGTGACAGCGCAGTGCCGTGATATACTCCTTCTTTTTGTGTTTCACTGGAAGACGTATCTTGAGAGCTAGCATGATCGCCCACTGCCACCGAAACTTTGGTTGCATTGTCGCCATGTGGTATGCACTGTCTCTATGTACAGAAAGGGAAGATTGACGCTCATTGGGCTCCAAGCGCACTGGAGTCAATTATTAGGTGTCCTCCCTTGAGGAGTTCTGACGAATCCTGACCACGGCTGCATTTCTCCGAGCATTCCCTCGAGCACAATGGAGCGGCTCCCCAACCAACAACTTCGGGGTGCCCCACACTGGTACAAATTCGGCCATATTACACGATGAGCAATCGTGTGAAACCGTGTTGAAATCTGGTTAAAATCTGGTATTCTGGAGCGCGATTTTACGCGATGGCTGAAATTGTGTAGTTTTCAGCCCTGCGTAGTACACAACAGCTGCCCATCTTACCAGCGGCAGCCCTGCTCTTTGTGATCAGCACAAGCTTGATACACAATTCTGACACGATTTCTACACGATTTTCTACGCATACCACGATTTCACGACCGTGTACTTTGACCGATTTTTTACCAGCGCCAACCTCACAACTGGTACTGCGCTTGGCCCCGCGCCTCCTCTTCAGCTGTGCAGACAACTCATCAGCATCACGGACAGAGTCGCAGATCATGTGCCACGGTTCACGTGAGGCGCACACAGTATCGCCTGGGCGAAGGGCGAGAAAGCAATTGCTGCAGTCTGAAGTCCAGGTGATGCATCCGTGCCTTCATGCTGCGTTTGCCAGACCCTAGACTTCTTTCATCTCGCCATGTTCTGCAGCTTCTCTGCCGCTTCCCTGGAGCATGACAACCGAGCAAGGTGGGAAAAGTTATGAGACATTCGGTTGACAGAACCATTGTTCGGTGCGACCGCCTGGACTCGAGGTGGTCTGCATGACCTCAGTAATTGACGTCATCGCCACATGCGATGCGCAGTTTGATGATGTCAATTCATGGACCCAAAAGAGCGGAAGAGCAGGTGGCAAGAATGGTTTCACTGCCAAATACATAAAGGTTGTGGTTGTGAGAGTCAAAGGGCTGTTCAGTGCTCCCAGCGAGCAGGAAGCACGGTATGAATCGAAGATTGCGATGCCAAAAAGCACTGGGCATCGCCTGATGTCCTCTTTTCTTTAAGTGCATTTGTCAACAAGACATGGCACAAACCACTCCCCTGCATCGCTCCCATTAGATGGGGGTAGCACAGTGTCACCAGTTTAGATTATCTCCCAATAGTGGCAATTTGACACAGAGTGACGCAAAATCGCAACAGCGCTAACGCTCAAGTGATGTGGAAAAGGGCACTGCACGGACGTTCACTGAGCAAACATTGCTCCTTGCGAACGCACAATCATTTGTTGGGCTGCTGATGCGCATGCTGCGGGCAGCGGCAGCGACTTGTCGCATTTGATGGACGCAATCAACGCAAAATTGCGGCGGCAGGAATCCCAGAGAATGCGCAAATTGGAAAGCGATCAGCGCAAGACATTATTTCACAAGCACATGGCGACATTGCAGTCGACGGTTGGCGTGCGTCGGGCACTTACAGCTGTCCAGCCAATGCTGCATGCCCCCCGGTCCTCGCCCAAGATGTTGGTGTTCTCCCACCCTGATCAACCAAAGAACCACCGATGATGTCCGAATAGCGCTACACACTTGAGAAAGAATGGTTGGTAAAACAGAACGCCGCATATTTCGATTATCTGAAACGGTGATTGATAACTTAAATTAATAATGCAACAAGGTGAAACAATACCCACAAAGAGATAAGATGAGACAAGATGAGGCAATACAAACAGAGCATTCTGCCAAGAAATGCGCTGCAGTGCAGTGTTTTAATAACGCAAGCGATACAATTTCTGCATAACAATATGTCCAGATTTGTTGTCGTTACTGCCTGCATGGCTACTGTTATGATGCAGTTCAAATGGGTTACAGGTGCACGCACATGATAAAGCACATTTATGCTCTCCTTCGTCTCCCAGAAATAAGTTTGCCACAATCTTCTCGACTTCGATTGACATCAATTGGCCCAATTAGGGTCTGTGAAGAAAACTGTTATGGAACCACTGTGCGATGTTCGAGAACAACGGTCCTTTATTGTTGCTCAGTCGTTTGAACTTTCAATTGGGGAAACAGCCACTCCTTGCAGGTGGAAACCACACTGTTTATTATCGAAAATCGTGCAATGCAACTTGACCAATTGGTGCTTGTTCATGTGCTGGTACCCAACACTCCACCTCTATGGGTTGAAACGTTTGGTGAACCAGTTTCGACAGATTGGCTCCGAATGCCGAGACTTTCAGAGGCACTGGATATTGCCCCTAGTAATGGACCGTGTGTTAATCGATTGGCCGGAAAAAGAGCACAAGCAGACGAAGTCGAAATATTCACGGCCTTTCAAAGCTTCCATACTCATAGTCATACGTTCAACCTATGAAGTTGATCCGTGTCAAAAGAAACGACCGTTCGTCTGCATATCAACGACGTCCCCATCGGCGTCTCAGGCTCAGTTAAGCTACGTGGAGGAGGTCGCCAAGCAGACCTCACGGCCATGACCACGTCCCCTTGATCAAGGGGTTTCAACACCAAGTGACGACGAGTGCGCAAAGATGGGACCAAGCATGCAGGGGACTTCGCCTCACCTCGTCAGCGGCGCGTGCATCCGCCCCATGTTTCAAGAGAAGTTCCACAACAGCAGACAGGCCACGCTCGGCTGCCCAGCTCAGAGCAGTCCTTCCTTTCTGTGTGTTGCGCCGACACACAATGGGTTACGCAAGGGAACAACGCCAGGCAGCCGCTGCGATGCGCTGCAGATGGCTGAGCATCCAACGCGTCAGCGCAGCGACACAGTGCACTTGTGAGCATATAGGGCACCATGATGCCCTGGCTGGCTGGTCCAGCTTGATCAATTGTAGCAGAAAAAAATGCACCATCCCGCGAGTTTTCACATCTGAAAATGATGTCATATATAGATGGCAATGTGGCAATATATGGCAGTTTAACAATATATTGTGCTTGCATGGCCACTGCTGCAATCCCGATGGGAACTGCTCGCAAGCAGAGCTTCAGCAAATTAACATATATCAATATTGGCAAGCGTTGATGTGTGTGCGAATGTCACATCAATGTTGACATTACAGCATTGCTTATTAATATTGCTTGCCAGTGTAGATTGTGATATATTCATTGGCATAGCGCATCAAATGCTTCATCTCAATTTTCTCAATGTGCACGGCATCATTCAGCAACAACACAGTAACTGATAACATACAATAAAGTGACAAATTTGAAGCTATCTCTTAATGCTCAGAAGTACACAACGCGCACATATGCACAGAACATCTTCTGTGTACTGAATTGATTAAGTCACCTTGTCTGGCAGGTCTATGGACGCCCCTTTACTGAGAATCGTCTCGGCTGTTGCCGTGTGTCCTCGCCGTGCAGCCACGCATAGTGGAGCGACTCCAATCTGCGAGCAGAGAATGCATAACGCCATCATTACCTCGCATACCCAATGTGACATTATTCGGAGTCGCTTCGAGTATTCTTGATGAACTTGATGAATACGAGGAGTGAGCGTATCACGTAATCTGGTTACTGTACTGTGGTGTGGTATTGTTCAAGCACATGAGTACATCCAAAGGTCGCTGAAAAGATTTATTGCGAATGCAAACAGTGCTATATATTCAGGTACCTGTCGAAGACGACAGTTCATCAATATGATCGTTCATGTGCATCGTTTATTGAGCCCAACCTAGCAACGAAACTTACTCTCTAGATTTATCCATAGGCATCGAAGTATACATCTGTACATCCAGCGCGTCCTCCGAAACCTGAATGCTGGCTCAAAACTTGATCCTCAAATTCTCTAGTCGTCATCAGATGTCGATATCAGCAATGGAAGAATGTCGTAATAAATACGTTGTCCATCAAATGTTCACAACGCTCTCGCCAAACTTGCGCGAACATCACAAAGTCAGGTGGGCTAATCCAGCAATGTCCCGCTCACCCTGCCAAACAGGTCTATCGACGCCCCTCGATTGATAAGCATCTCCACGATGTCCGTGCGGCCTCCACGCGCTGCTGCACACAGTGGCGTCTCCCCATGCTGCGTGCACAGACAATTTCCGCGCTGAAGAAGGCAATGCACGTTCAATTGGTACTTCTCAAGCAATTCGTGCAGAGAAAAAGGCCCCCGGCATGCAGCATCTGGGGCGAGCAAACTCTAAGATTGCCCCAAGTCGAATATGCCTGCGAACGAATGGACAGCCTACACCCACTGAAAAATGAGGACACTACTGTTGCCAAAATCATTTGTTCGTTTCTTCTATTCAAAAGAAATTAGTTGATAACAACTTGCGTGAGCCAGCATTCACAGTTGACGCTAATGGCTCGGTAGTATTGCAGCCGGTTCCCAATGCACGATCGTCATAAATTCAACCGGTTGGAAAGAGTGTAGAAACTGCCTGTAGCAGGGCAGGTTTTAGCGAGCGTGATGTTTGTTGGCAAACACGCATCAGAAGGAATTGGGTGAACAAGATCCTGCTGCATCTTCACATCGAGATTGAGTCTTGAGAGACGATAGGCGGTTAAGAAAAGGAAATGGATGACAAAATGAATTGGTATACGCACACAAGAAGCATCCGAAACCCTCAGAGTGTCGCCCTTGCAGCTCAAACTATCAGTGCAACACACTGCCAAGAGTAGGCAACCGACATTGCAACCGAGATTTGTTGCTCACTCTGCCACAGAGGTCTATCGATGAGCCCCGATTGATGAGCATCTCGGCAACCTCCATCTGTCCGCAACAGGCTGCTGCACAGAGCGGCGTCTCCCCGTACTGCACCCCACGTCGAAGCGCTGTCAGTAAGGGTTCCACACATGAATCGCACCAAATTAGCAGCCGAAACACATTAATTCCAAGCATAGGACATGCCCCGGACAGAAATAGTCAATTCAAAACGTTGATGCTTATTGCTTCATTGACCAACCAGTGATGTGCCTTTACGTACACGCATGCACAGCAGTTAGTTGGGTTAAAGTGGCCTAAAGCAGCTTGGTTCGATAGAGCCAGCAGCTTGCCGCTCTGTGTAGGACAGGCTCCAGTGGCACTCTCAAAATGTATGGCTCGCTGACGGCACTGCGCAATTGGTGACAAGGCATGCACCAGCAATAGAGCGATGCCCATCTCGAACAATCGATACTGGTTAGTGATTTGTTTCTACGTTTTGAAATAGGGAACAGCCGCTGGGTGCGGCCGACCATTGCTAATCACTGTTTCTTCATTCTGCAAATGTGGAGAGCATGCATCAGCTATCAGGGAGATAGTATAAGAGCCAGAAACACGAACTCAGGAACGTGCAGACAGGCACACTCGCCGTAGTTCGACCATTAAACGAACGTCGAGCACTCACTCTCCCCAGCATATGGATGGACGCCCCTCGGTCAAGAAGCATCTCAGCCGTTTCTGTCCGCCCTCCACGTGCAGCTGCACAGAGTGGAGTCTCGCCGTCCTGTACATCGCAAGAACAGGTTGCATCGCCCATGCATGACAAGAGCACAAATCAAACAGGCTCAGAGTCGTCTTCTATCTCATTATTATCTGTAAATATATCCAACTTTCATCGATTTATTTGATACTATATTACACAATTCCACTTTGCATACCTAATGATTCATACTAGTAGTACTACAAGACATATCTCCGTGTCCCATACGACAACCTCTCCTTCGAGGTGGGTGCAAAGCCAAAGCAGTAAGTCTACCCACTGCAGAGCAGTAAGTACTATTCCTAATCCGCCAAAAAAGTGCTTGGCAATTTGCCTGTCGCCTGTCAGGATTTCTCAATGCAACTTCAATCTCTTAAATTCAATGCAAGCCCAGCCAGGCACGCCTAGATTGCTGCGAGTGCGCCCGGGAACTGCAATCCATTCACTCGCCTTGTCAGGCATGTCAATTTGGGATCCCTCATCAAGAAGCGCCTCAACGACATCCGTCTGTCCGCGGTACGCCGCCACGCAGAGTGGCGCTTCACCACCCTGCACGTCACGAGAATAAGTGCCCTTGTGAGTGGGCATTGGACTGTTCAAAACTCCTCCATATTGGGAGCTTCCACGAGATAATTCTCCACTGGCATCTTTCGCAAGCATTGTTATAGTGCTTGATTCTGAGCAGTTCGTTTGAGCCGATATCACGAGTTAATGCTCTCACAGATTTCCAGCATCTGCCTGCGTATATGTCACAAGATCAGGCCATCCCAAACGCCCATGTCGACGATGATTTGTCTATTATGCCACCGGGCGAAATCACCACGTAAACACTTGCCACCAGTGCGAAATGCCAGCGCATAGCGCTCTGTTCCAAGACGTAATGGTGCTGTCGTGTCGAAGATCCCGGAAGTGCTTACCTTGTCCAACGGCTCCATTGATGCTCCTTGTAGCGAAAGCATTCTGGCTATGGTCGCCTTCCCGATGGATGATGCCACGCAGAGTGGACTTTCGCCGTACTACCGACCGCAGCAGCAACAGCCAAAGGCACAAAGAAGTAAGCACAAGTCAGTCAGTGCAGCAACCAGGCAAGCGCCATGGTGGGCAGGGAAATTTTGTCTGCATCTAGATGCCAAGACCTTGGCAACTCCAGATACTACGCTTCGGAAATGGTGGCAACTCGCCAGCAAATAGCCATCCAGAAAGCGTTCAGTAAATTGCGACACATGAAATGCAGCCGAGTAGACATTTCAATTGCTTGCCATCAAGCTAGTGACAAATCACACTATTGTGTACCACCCATTACCGCCATCAAGTGCCAGGACTGTTGTTGATTGCCGTGCATGCACGTCAACAGAGACGGAGCAACAATGGTTCTCGCATGCAACATGGGGGCAATCAAAGCAAATGCTGGGCCCACATTCACCTTGTCGAATAGTTCTGCCGATGCCCCTCGACTAAGAAGCATCTCCGCGGTCGCCGTGTGGCCTCCTCGAACAGCCACGCACAGTGGAGTCTCGTCGTACTGCACAAGTGACAAAGTGAAAGAATCTGCCCTCGCAAGTTCAAATGTACATTTGGCAAGTGATTGAAGCCATAGACGGCTGCGTCTATGAGCATCCACTGATTGGGAGCATCGTACACATTTTATCAACAACAACAGACAAGGACCCCTACGCCAAAGCAATTGCTTATCAAAAAAAAAATTTGAGCTATTTTGTGGACAATGAGTACAGTGAGCGACCACATTGGTGTAATTGAAAAGCTCGGAATACTGACCAGGACACTTGCATGAATTGCAACATATGTGGATTACAACTTTTTGAATGGTTTTTAACAATAAGCGATTGGTCTCATTGTGCATATTCCATTTCGAGAGTACCTAGTGCCCTGGATCTCAAACAAATGCAGCAGAAGAACCAACCAGCCAACAAAAACCGGGTCCCCACTTCCAGGCGCAACTCTGCTTCGATGTTCCATTTGTTTTCGGCACACAAGGTAGGTGCAGGCAGCTGCAAGAAATACTTACTCTCCCATGAAGATCTACGGAGGCACCCCGATTGAGGAGGATCTCGGCGATATGCGTAAAGCCACGGCACGCCGCCACATACAAAGAAGTCTCGCCGTACTGGGCATTGCAGATACACACCAGGCTGTCAGCGGGCTTACTGCACTCATGAGCGCCATGTTGATCACTGGGGTTCTTCATACTAACACATCAGGAAGAGACCCCATAGGGAGGCTCCTTTTGGCATCCCATAAGCGACACTACTTGCAACATGGACACTTGCTGCTGGTGCAAGCTGGACAGCCACACAAAAAGACTTCATATTCTGTTGCAAGGAAATGGAGACCAGCAGACAGCGTTAGCAAGAGCACAAAAATTTGGATCCATTGAGACTTTCAGTGAGTGTCTCATCCGCGATTGTCGGAACGTCGACAGGACTCAACGCCCCCGATTCCATGGTGTCCATGGCAGACCAGATGCGACCAAGATTCTGTGCAATCGTCGTTTCAATGCGAAACCCACCCTTCCAAATTGATCTGCCACCGCTCCTTGGTTCAGGAGCATCTCAACAGTGGATGTATGGCCACCACGTACAGCTGCACAAAGAGGCGTGTCGCCATTCTGCACATCACCAAAATCATGCATCAAACCATGAACAAGCACGCAACGGACGAACCAAAAACCACCTCAACTTGACTTCACCTCTTATCCATCTTCCCTTGATTTTATTTCTGATTAGGCAATGAAACTGATGAAGCAGCGAAGCTATCAATTCTGGGAAGTTTGTGGCCCAGTCATGGCAGTTCTGAGACTCAATGTCTTGGTGTTCTCCTCCCCATATAATATTTCTGGTAGACACAACTGGTAGCCTGACAGACAGGACATTATGCCTTTATGTTATTTTCCATGCAACTGCAACACATCGCTTATCCCACGTACACCATGACCATCGCATGCGCTCCCCTCTGAGCTCAGCATGTAATGCACACTCACTTTGCCACACAGCTTGATCGATGCACCTTGACTCAGCAGCACCTGGGCAGTGGCAGTTTGACCTGCCCGTGTTGCAGCGCAGAGAGGAGTCTCGCCGTACTGTGCATCACAGCAAATTGTTAGATTGTGGAAGCAACTTTGTGGTGTGCCAAAACAACTTCAGATCAACATGCTAGAATGCTACATAACTCTTGACAACAACATTCCCTCGTAATTGGGGGGCCTTTGCAAAAAGGTCACAGATCAACTGCGCGAGAACATGTCCCTTATCCAGCAAGTCATCTTACAATCGTCAGACCAGGTGGTAGTTCTCCGAAGTGCCGTATTTCGGCAGGCACTTCTCTGATATGAAACCCCTCTGGCACTGACAGACAATTATTCCTCTCTCTACGTCGCACATAGCAATACATTCATAAGCATCGAGTTTCCATTCAGCAGAAGCAGAATGTGCTTCGACACATGTTTCGAATGCCAACAGAACAAATTTTGATGCCAAGCTCATATCACACTGATACATAAGCCTTTTGCAAATAGGGGCATATGTGTTTGTGCACATATTGGGTTGTTCGCAGCTGCATATATATTCAGCTGCTCCCAAACAGGTCAATATCATCACAGCGCTTGTCAAAGCTTGCACCATGTGTGCACTGCACAAGGAAGCACGAAACAGGAGCTCACTCTGTCCGGCAGGTCTATGGAGGCTCCCCTGCACAGAAGCATCTCTGCAACAGTGGTGTGGCCTTGACTCGCTGCCACTGACAGTGGCAATGCGCCGTACTGCAGCAATAAGAAACAACATCAATGATGATTTCGTACCCAGATTCCACCACAACTACCCACACAAAACCAGCCTAGATGTATCGATATTCAACATCCCCCTGGCTCCCGTGGTCATTTGCTGACACCCAATATAATTCCCACAAACTCAAACAATGGCGGAGGACATTTGCAGGACGCCTGTAAGGAGACACGACTACATACCAAGGCTACACTGCCCCGCTATCATTTTTGAGCTCACAAACGCCACATAAAGATGATCCCACCTTGTCAGGTTGCTCAATCGAAGCATGTCGATCGAGCAGCACCTCAGCAATCGCAAGCTGGCCCAGACTTGCAGCCAAACAGAGTGGAGTGGTGCCGTTCTGGACATCACATCGTGTCATCAGAACATGGAAGAAACGCAATGCCCAATCCAGGTCTCAAACAAAGAAAAGCCAGCCACAGTTCGCTGCAGACAAACATCAAGGGCACTGCATTAGGCCTTCACAGTAATTAGGCCAGGATTGCTTCCTTAATGTTCTTGATGGTTATATTGCTGAACACATGAATTTCATTGTGGCTAAATGCACCCAGACTGACATGAGTGAGATGTACAGAGGAACTCAATGACAATACCTACTTTGTCAGCCAGGTCAATTGATGCTCCATGGTTGACAAGCACATTGACAATGGCCACCTGACCGCCCCGTACTGCTGCACAGAGTGGGGTGTTGCCTTTCTTCATGCCACAGCCAGTCAGACACAACACGTTAGTAAAGCTTGCTTGCTTTAGGCTAAGCATAGTAGGCTTGTTTGAAATCAGTCAGTCAGTCAGTCAATCAATCAACCAACAACCACTCAACACATGTCTGCATCCTGCAACACAACAGGTGATGGCGGCTGAAATGGCATTATTAGATCTGCTCCCACCGAAAACTGCATGGATGACCAAATCAACGTGCATAGCACAGCCAATTCATGCCATGTCAAGTACATTACCTTGCAAATCGATCACAATCTGCGCAACGACACACTCCCATGATGCTGGCCAGCCACCAACGATCAACTTGATATTCATCCTACTATCAGATTGAATTTTCATACTAATACAAACGAAACAACCGAGTCATGGACAAGAGAATATTGTGAGAGGTACGATGCCAAAATGCTAGCATTTCGACGCTGACTCCCAAAACATACGCATACGTGTGAAAAAAAAAAAAACGTAAACGTACGCATGGTGGCAGCACACGCTCAATCAATGGTGTTCCCTTTGACAACAAGCACACATTCATTGCCATTCTGCAATTCACACTTTATTCGTATAGTGCCATGTGCTTTCAGTTGCTGCTGCAGTGCTAAGAACTGCAGTAAAGAAAACGATGATGTACTGGTTGACTAATACATCAGAACACAGATAGCCAATCTTTCCATACATTCCTCTAAATATTTACAGAATGTATGACTGAGCAGTGGCAGTGGGCAGTGAAACCTACGTGATCCTGGCAATCTGCATCAATTTCCTTCAAACTCCATTTCGTCATCTCCTTAAGGCCCTGGGCAGCTGCCCAATGGAGGGGTGTGTCTCCCACCTTCAAGACACCATCAGTCCCAGTTCTTGTACTATGCAGATGATATCGATCAAAACTGCGTGTGACCATAGCAGTGGGAGTTGAGTATGTGGGAACGCAAGAGCATCATCACAAATTCATGATTACCTGGCATGATTCAGACCTGTCCCAGAACTGCTTCGTCACCACCTTCATGGTGGTGTTGATATTTCGCATTGACTGTCCCACATCAAGCATAATTGCACAATCCCAAACGGAAAGGTTTCATTAAATCATGTGCAATTGACCCATTGCACACAGCTACTGAGAGACAGTGAAGCATTCGAGGCCAAGGCACTTGCTGGCATTGGACCAGGCAATCCTTTGGCCACAGCGGAGAGGATACACTGTGCCACAACTCACCTCCTCATTGTTGAAACTGCATTCCATTGTTGTCTCCCTCTCCACTTTCACATCAGGGAACTGTGCATCAAACGTATCCGGTATCTTGCAGCTCACTGGAAGTCCCAACACTTCCAGACTGTCCAAGCTCTCCACAAATGTAGGAAAATCCAGCTTGTTGCCTTGCAGGCGCAAAATCCTCAGCATTGGACAGCCATCAGCTATGCCATCTGGAAGGCGCATAATGTTGGGACAATGTTGGCAATCCAGCTCTTCGAGGTTGGTTAGAAGGGTCACCATCTCTGGGATTTCTGGCAAGCTGGTGCAAGCATGCAGTATCAGCACCTCCAGCTGTTCTAGGCAGCCAATGGATGCTGGCAATTGAGCCAACTGCCAACAGCCGCCCAAGTTCAGAGCTGTCAAACTGGCCAGCTCCCCAAGACTGGGAGGCAGTCGCTTCAATCCAAAGCTCCTGCTCAAGTCGAGCACTGTCAAGCTTTGCAACTTTGGCACTTCAGTTGGAAAGAAGTGAAGAATTCCGCAGTGCGGCAGCAGGAATTTTGTCAGATTCGACAAGTGGCAAACGGAGTTTGGCAGGTCATAGACGCTCCTGCAACCCCTCATTGACAGCACCTCCAACTCGCCCATTCGCCCCATTTCCTCTGGAAGACCTTCCAGTCTGTCACAGCCATCCACTCGGAGCAACTTGGCGGATGAAAGGTAGCAAATTTGCTGTGGCAGCTTTGTCACACCAGCGAATGACAAGTCCAGAACCACCAGCTGTGGTACAAGAATGGAGGCAGGCAGCTCAAAAATTCTTGCGCCTCTCAGCAACACAGTTTGCAGCTTTGGCATGTTCAGAGACTGAAGATCCCACGACTGACCCTCCTTTGTGCTCCGACTGGCAGAAAACCTGGTGCATGAAAACTCCACATTGCTGTGAACGGCACCCCTCAACTGTGAGTACACCAATCTGTTGCGTTCCACGAATGGTGCCTCTTCCATCATCTTCAGCGCACTGTCACGGATCACATCATGCAAGTGGTAGTGCACAGCTCTGCAGGACTGATACTCAGAGATCTCAACGAGATCTGCCCCCGTCCGCATAACCAAAGACTTGCTCTCCAAGGCCCTCAGCACATCTCGTGCAACATCCTCGTCCTCACATGAGCCTGAGGACACTTGCAGCTCCACTAGATCAGATTCCCTTGCATAATGGTCCTCAGACAGCATGGCCAAGTCGAGCAAGGCTGATTGATGCTGCTGGTCAAGGCTGTTGAAGCTCAAGCAAAAAACCCTGTCAAACACTTTGGAACGGATGATGCCCTGTCCCATCAGTTCTTTGACTGCCCTCCCCCATTTCTTCTTTTCCAAGCGAGTAGAGCCAGCACTTTCTGCTTCCTTGTAAGTGCTGACTTCTCTGCCCATGACCTCCAATGCAAGAGGAAGGCCATCGCACTCTCGAACGATGTCCCTCACATACTGCTCCTGCCATTTTGATGGTTTGCCACCATCAAATGCACACTTGCAAAACAGCTTGTGGGATTCTTCTGCGTCCAGGGGCATCATGTCATATCCATTTGCATTGACACAATTGGCAACTGCATCAATTCTTGTTGTTATGAGCAATCTGCTGTTCGCCGACACGACATCAAGCTGCCTCAAGTCGTCCTCCTCCCAGAGATCATCCAACACAAGGAGCAAAATCTTGTCCTTCAATGCTGCTTGCAGATGCAGTGTGCCATCTTCCTCACTTGTGAATTCTACCCTTTCCTTTGGATCAATGAAAGCTTCTGAAATCCTCTTCTGGCACACCAGAATATTCGGATTCTGTGACACAATGACAAACCCTATTGCTGAAAAGCTGGACTGCACTTGCCTGTCGTTGACAACAGCCCTTGCCAATGTCGTTTTCCCTATCCCTCCCATCCCTGTGAGTGCCACATACTTGGTTCCTGGAGACAGCAGCTTGTCCCTGACAGCAGCCACCTGTGCCTCCAAAGCAACCGCATCAGGTGCAGTGGGAATGACTGATAACTTCCCAGACTGTGGCTGAACAAGCTTGAGAATGAGATCGACCTTCCTGTGGGTGCGATCTGTCTGGACGCTGTTCAGACGACGTTCGCACTCGTCAACAACCTGAAGGACTGACAGTGGGCCGGTGCTCGTCTGCCAAAATGCATCCCCCAGCCTCTGTATCTTTGTCTTGCTCTCAAACTGCTCCAGTGCACGAGCAGCCCCCTCGATGAACTGCATAAAATCTGCAAGAACACTCATATAGCCCTCATCATTTTCCTGGAAGGCTCTCCACAGATCTTCCATTATGCGCTCACCCACCACCACCAGCCTGGAATGTGCAGATGCAGTGCTCCCCATTTCCTCACCCTCCCGTGCCACCACCTCAAGAACAAATCCCAACCATTGAAGTGCAGCGCCCACAAGTGGCACAGCCCCTCCAACCTCCTGGGTGAACTGTGCAGCTGTCTCAAGGACACCCACAGCCACCGTTGCCTTGCTGACAAGGGCTCGTGCTGCATCCAGGTTCGGCTGGTCGAAAAAACCCAGTTTTACCCGTTCTTCAGAAACTGCTCCCACAGTCCTATCTCCACCTGCACCCACACCCCGCAGCATGTCGGGCCATGACAGCACTCTTCGCTGGAGAGCGGTTGCCCAGCGTGCCGCAACCTCCCTGGAATCAACTCTGAACTTTTCTTGTCCCATACCATGCTTTACCATCCATTCGCATTCGCCAGGAGAGTAGTCCACAACTGTTGCTCCACGCATCAGAACGATGTGCTTTCCCCTGTGCCATGCCTTTCTCTCTCTGGGGCAAGCCTCATCATGCCCTGCCCTTATCCACCACAAGTCCACCAGGACCAACAAGAAGACATCCTTCCATCGACCTGAGTTCTGAGACCACCGCTGTGCCCTGTTCGCCACCGGGGCTAACAACACAGACAGAGACTCTGGGCTGATCTGGTTGGTGGCCATCACCTGCACATGTGCACAGGCCAGTCAGCCAGGAACTGGGCCACATGGTGACACGTGCTAATATTTGACGTGCGCAATGACAGGCACGCCAAAACAGACTTCGATGCCGACTCAGTGCATCGCTTGCTGATTTGAGCAATTGCACTTTGCAAGTGATGGCGGAGCCGCAGCATGCAATGTGCGTTTGTTCACTTCTTGTGCAAGTATAGATCCGCTTGCCAGCCGGCTATGGCCCTGGGGCAAACTGGCGGCACAACCGTTCCGTTCCCGAGGAATGGGGCCGAACTATAATCCCAATCGATCTGGCGGAGATGATAGAAAATGCAACATCGTTCACTTTCTGGGGCGGGTGGAACCTTCCAGAGCGCAGTGGGCAGGGAGTTAGGCCCCGGTGGCCATTCGCGGCAATGGCCTCCGGTGGCCAGCGACTGGCAGACGTCACGAACACTGCAGGCTTGCGGCTTGCGGCTGCGGCCTGCAGGCTTCTTCGGGGGACGCTTGGCTTCGGCGACAAATGGGCGGCCGAGGGGGTGGCCTCAAGGGAGAAGTACCCCGGGGCGCGGACTCCCTTGCGGCCCCAGGGGCAGCCGTACTTGCACAGTGCTGCAAGTACGGCGTGGGTCAGTGTGCGGACAGGATGTTCCACAGTACTTTAACACCCTCCTGGTGAACTGACCCGCGGCGTTCTTGCACTGAATTCTGACGCGTGGCGTCCAATCGGTGCTGTGGCACTTTGGACTTTTGACGGAAATCGCGTCCGTTTGGTGGTCAGCGTGTTCCGCATCCCGAAGACACAAACTGTTACTTCAAGCTAGAGCTGCTTCAGATTCGGCAGGAAGACAACAGTGCCGACGTACAGTCTTCAACCGATCCGCATCTTTGACACTTGGCGTTGCGTGTTGGTTCCATGATTTTACAAAGCAAAGAATAATGTGGTTGTCAGCAAAGGAGCATTCCTGATGATGCGTGTGGCCTGGATCAAAGGATGTCTTTGTATCTTTTGTGCGTGTGTGGGGGTGGAGGGGGTTTAGGGGCCAGGGGAAGGGGGAAGGGGAGAATGGCAAGACGCGGCTTAAAAGGGTCGCTATGCAATGTTGGCGATGTGCAAGTTTTGTTGATCCAGCTATCTGAGTAGTCATCAGGTGCAGCGTGACAGCAAAGGCCAAAAGAACAAAGAAGTCTCCTGTTTGTAAAAGAGCCACATGCGTGGATACTACCAAAGGGTGTGGGGGTGGGGTGGGGGACGGTGAAAAGCTTCACCATTGTTGAGTTTGCACGACACGGAGCTGGCAAATGCCCTCATTTCTTTTCCTGCTTCTCCCATTTTCTATTGTCTTTCTTTTCTTCTATTCGCCCATCTTTTTCTGCAGACAAACCGACAATCTCCATCTGTGCCACTTCAGTGGCGTCGCCCAGACACACGGCAGATTACGTGCTCAGCGTGTCCATTTTTACTTTGGGCACTGTTTGGACTAGGAATACTTCAGCACGCACGCCCAGAGGACACGATGCCCGTGAAGGATGAAACGCTTGAACGACTGGAGCCCTCACAGCCCATCTTTCTTGTTACTGTGCTCGTAAGCAAGAGAACTATCATATGAGAGTGTGCAAGTTCAATCATGGATCGATGGACGGCGCCGCGTCAAGGATGGGAACCAATCAACCAGTAGCATGAGGAATGTGATGCAGACAACGTTGCTGACAATCCAGATGTGGTCCTTCGGGCGAAGGTGACGGTGTCATTGTGGAGATTCTCGAAGAATGACCTGGTGTGGGCGATACGGACTTGGAGCTCGAGCGTACATGGCAGAGTTGGCAATGAGCATCCGCAGGACAACATGCAGATCCAGCGCTGCTGAATTGCTGGGCACAGGCAAGGCCTGGGCAAGGCCTTGCGGTTTGCAGGATTGGCTGACCCGAGAAGCATGTGGAGCCGAAGAGGGGCATTGACAGCTAATACTGTTGAGCTCCGGGGAAGTGGGGTGGTGGGATGTGTGAGCCTCAAATGCACAGAGGTCATACAGCTGAGTTTGGAAGTCAGATCAGCACCATCCAAGTCCAGTCGTCCCCAAGGCTTCAGCAGTGTCGTGCACGGAACTACCCAAGCCCTGTGCCATTGGTACCTTGGCACTGCCCTTGCTGTTCAGTGTAAACTTCCCCATTTCACACTGTCACCTCTGCTAGCCATCCCTGCTTCTTACTTCTGCCCTGCAAAATGGTAAGAATGATATTGCCACACGAAGCAAAGCTGCAGAGTCTTCTCCAGACCAACAATCCAGGATCAAGAGACCCTGGTGGGCAACATTTTGTGCCACAAACAGCAGGATCCACTCAAAAGAGTGTGCAGACCTGTGCCTGTCTCCCAGCTTGACCTTTCATCGCTGTGTACCAGTGCAACAGAGGATATGACGACAAGCCACTTGGGTACTCTGGCTGTTAGAAGGACAACAATTCATTGTGAAGTTGCCATTCGATGCCACATTTCTTGCTGGTGTGCAGTGGAGGTGCCAAGCACTCAATGCTCACGTTGGAGTGCACAAATTTGACGTCATCCAAATGGCAAGAAATGAAATCGCATTAAATCAAAATCAGTTCTCAAACAGGGCGTTTCGTCAACGTTTTTCGCACATCGCAGACCTATGAGCAGCCATTTGCATCTGATCTGGTGGCGAACAACTCCCACTTCACAGCCTGCCATCGCACCTCTGCATCCTCAGATGCCTGCAGCCATCCACCAAGCCAGATCCACCTTCTGAGTGGGCCTGCTGCCAATCCTCGTCCGCCCAATTTGAACGGCTTGTTCAGGAAAGGCCTGGCCACAGCACGACCCTGGGCCCTGCCTCTTCTTTGCAGTGCACACACCAATGCCACCGGACAGCACATCTGCCAGACTGACCGAGCCGAGTGAAGCTTGATCCGCAGATCATTTGCGAGGCTGAATTCTTCCTGTCAACCTGCGGAAATGGATGAATCCTGGCTGCTCAGGGGCAATCAATCCCCATTCTCTCTGCCGATCTGCGCCCATCCCGATGCCTCCTTCCCCACTTTTACCAGGGCGGCTCACCCCATGATCGTCATACAGGAATGGGCACTCGCCCCTTAACCTGTGAGGGTGAGGTACCACCGGAGAGTAACAGCCGTTGGGTTGAACGCGAAGACGATGGCGAAGGGAATGGCCAGCAGCACGAGGGCCACTGGGTACAGGAACAGCTCGGTGCCCTCCAGGAACGGCAGGGCGCTGTAGCCAAGGAAGTTGAGGTAGTGGTAGTAGCTGAACGCCACGGCGTGCAGCGCGTTGGACAGGATCGGCCCCAGCACGTTGTTGGCCAGCAGCAGCGGCAGTAGTAGGAACTGCACCACGTGCAGCAGCAGGAACAGCGGGAAGAAGGAGTTGCACTGGACGTCGAAGGCGTACATCCACTCAACGCGCTGCTCCACCGCGTGCGACGGCAGGAGCTTCTTCCTCAGAAACCGGTTGGCCACCGCCCAAGCCAGCGTCGCAATCAAGGCCCCCAGGCCCAGGAATTCGACGAACACGGCGTAGGCGGTCACCGCCAGGCCGCCCCAAAAGCTCGTTCCAAAGGCCACGCAGTAGCCCGCCGCCGAGAAGGCCACGAACAGGCAGCAGACCACCAGGTAGGCGGGGTCGTCCCTGCACCACTGGTTCTTGGTCTGCTTGTGGTAGGCGGCGTGGCGGTAGGCCGTCTTGGGCGACAGGCACAGCTGCAGCATCAGCCACAGCGTGTACTCGACGTCCATCTGCTTGGGCTTGACGATGCGCCGCAGGTAGGTGGACATCGAGTGGTATGTGCGGTTGGGCGCCCCCCGGCGCGACCGCTCCGAGGAGGTGGGCAGCATCCCGGCCCCGCTCGACCGCGCCACCGCCGGGGCCGGGAAAGAGGTGCTTGGGAGTGCGTGGGGTCCCTTGGTGGGGATCTGATGCCCGGGATGAGATCCCCGGTGGGATCGAGGTTAACGGGTCCGGTGAATCTGGGGCGGTGAAGGGGGATGCGGAGGCTGAGCCTGGGGGTTGTGGGGCGGTGGTGGCGCCAGGGGGGGCGCTCGCAGGGGCTTGTGTGGGGAGTGCCAGATAGCCAACGCACAGGAAAGGCAACTGGGTTAAGGGGGAGAGTTTTTTGGCCGTCTTTCTGACCGTCTGCTTTTTGAGTTCTGTTTTGACAAGGGGGGATTGCTCGTACTGACGGCGGAATTTCTGTTTATTTAACCTGCTGGAGTTCCTTTACGACTTAAACAAATGAACACGGGCAAGTCCCTTCCAGAGCAAGCTCACAGGACTGGCCATTCGGAGACCGCTCAATCTATTGAAAACCATAGTGCACCCCATGCCAACTTCAATTGAAAATTTGGGTCTTGTTCGTGACGCCTCACACCGACCACCGTTTCGCAGGGTGCATCATTTATGCCAGAGGCTGACGACTGGTAACTTCCTTAAAGGGACTGTGACATGCACGGAATGGCCTGAGTACTCTAACATCGCACGACAAGTGGTAAGTTCTGTGCTCACGGGTCCCAAACGGGTGCTGAAAAGAAAGACTTGTTCTGCTGGCTGCGAGAGGTGTTAGCCAGCGCAATCAAGCAGTGTTAACCGCGGCAATCGTGGAAAAGTGGGTTCAACCAATCAGCTGCGATGCTAATTTGGCAATGGAACTGGAGTTCTGAAGTGGTGGCCGTGAGGCTGGCAGTGGCGCTTACATCTGCTAGGAATTACTGGATACGTTCCGGAACTATGTGGACTGCAGGGGATCAACACACGCGGGTTTGAACCTCGACGAGCCTCAGTTTGAACAAACTGCACCAAGTTGCACCTCTGGGTCCGAGTGCGTTCAACCTCTACGCGTAGTAACACTCACGGCATGATATTATCAGCTGTGGACATGTTTGGAATTCTGCCAGCGTTCAGTGGATCTATGCCATCCCTATTGCTGAACAGCAAAGACAATCCCCTTCGTCGAATCTCCCCCTTGTTGCCGAAATTGGCTGCCGAAAAAGGCAGAGTTTTAGAGCGCACGCAGACGCTTCAGCCGGTCATTACAGACAGTATTCACGGGTCGGTCCTTTACAATACTACACTCACGATACGTACAACATGGTCTTCACTACAAGGGCCCCTCCATCAACCCGTCGGCAAGGCATGGGTCGACCACAGGGCCATGTGCGTCAGCCTGGACGCACGTCAATCCCCACATTTATGCACTCTCCAGAGACGGGACCGGCCGCCAGAATACAAACGTCATCACTTCGTGCATTTGTTCAACTGATGAGCAACAAAAATAAGTGCCATCGACGGACCCAGCAAAGAATGAAGACCAGCAACACGATGACGCGTATTCAAATGTTCCGAAGATGCACTTCTCACGCCCTCTACTCTTCGAGACTAAGAGAAAAACATGCGTGCATGAGCGCGCGTTGAAGACAGAAAAATGAGCCCAATGGTTATCTGCAGGGCCGCGGCTGAGCGGGCTGAAAACGCATCCGAGCCAACCGCCGAAGGCCCTTTCCATGCGAACGACATAATGAATGAATTGACGCCGCGCTGTAGTGGACAATAAACAATTTGCACGCGATATTAGGCAGGGCATGGCACACTGCAACATGCAGCGGTCAAAAAAAGGCGCGGTCAAAAAAAGGCGCGGGCTCAATGGAGGCACGACCCATCGCTCCATGGAGTGGCAATCCCGAAAGCACTCATTCGTTGGGCAGTGCGTTCGTCGCTGCTGCGAGCCGCCAACGATTGCTGTGTGAGGAAGCCGTCACGGGAAATTGCCATTGCCATTGGTCCCGCTCGTCGAGTGGCTGCAAACACAGACAGACGTTCCGTGAGCTGGGGCTGGCAGTGCTCAACGCAAGTGGTCGAGGAACAACAACAATTAATCGCAAAACTCAAGCAACGATCCCATCCTGGAAAATTGGACAAAGGCGATTCAATTTGCGTGTGTGGGTTCTCTGCACACATGCTGCTACATTGTGCTCCATTCGTTGTTGCCTGCTCTTCCCACTGCACCCCAGCGATTGCCAATTGAATGCAATCCTCGTCACTGCCAAAAAAGCCTGTGCACAGCTCATGAGACACATGGTATCGCACTGCTGAGAACAATCCAACATTCATTTTGCCAAAGACGATTATTGCAATATGCAAACCCTGCTTGCACACCCATTATGCATCAAAGAAGCTGCCGTCCAATGCTGTGAGTCAACGTGAAAGATGTGAATGCAATCGCCCGGTGGACAACTAGCATAAACTGGCTATTTGTCCATAGCAATGCCATCAAACCTGTTTTTTGGGAATGTATGCTACATGGCCATGAAACCAACGGCGTCAGCACATCTTGCTGAATACTGGAATTCAAATGCGCATTGCACCTTGACGCATCCATGCTGGCACCGATTGAGCCAGCTCCACGCTCGTCGCTCTCTGCTGTGTTCACTTCCCTCTCCCCAAGCCTTTTCTCCATCTCGCGCAGTCGTTCGGCCATCTTGTTGTACTCCTCCTTCAGGCGAGCCTGCACCATCCATGCCAAGCCTGGGTGATTGCCAACGGAGGCTGAATGCTGCAAAAGTGGAACTGAGAGAGCTGCATGAGCCACACAGAGCTGAGCTGACTTCCACGCAAGCACGGCGATCAACAACTCTGTTGGGTCAATGTCACTGGATCTGTACAGAGCAGCTGTGCAGGAAAACAATGTTGCGTGTGTTGAGCGAGTCTTGGCAGCACTGCTGAGTTCTACCAGCACAGCTCGCACGCAGCACATTCGAATGCAACGTTGCATGCTGTACACGTGGCTACAACGTGGCTCTGCATTGGAAACAGGCGTCAGGGCTGCGGCTGAAAACCTAGAAACGCTGCGTATTCTGACCGTTCCAGCAAATGGAGTTCAACAGCTTGCACAAGGCATGGGTGTGTCATGGCAACACAGAATCCAGCCTCGAGTCTCAAATGTACAGCATACTGCACCACGTTCTGAAACAAGTACATAGAGCAATGCAGAAAGATCCGAGATAACCAAAACAAATGGTCAAGAGGCACGTTCTGCTATGCCAGTGTCCAGAGAGCAAGAAAGCAGCTTGAGCCCTGAGGATCGCTTCAACCTGGATTTGAGCCTGGTGGGGCAGTGGAGCTGGGCCCTGTGCACATGAGGCATGCACAGTGGTACACCCAACAACAACGACCTAGGCCTCCTCTCCAACAGCTACAAGTTTTGATTATTATCAACGTGGCACTGGCACAAATTTGGTGGACCTTTATTCAATCCTCTGACTATTATACTACCGTTGTAATGCAACCAAGATAGAAGCTATTCATTGACCATCTGCAAAATTGTATGCCTTTGTAAGGAGCACACACAGCCGCAACAGGGGATAAAAAATGCACATAAGGAAACACTGTTCTCTGCTCATAACAATCTACATGAATGCAATCAGCACAGGCAGTCAACATCGACACATGCAACGGAAGGCTGCCTCAAGTCCCTCAACCGACCTGCTCCTGCCGCAATTGTTGCAGGCGGGACATGGCCTCGTCCCCAGCTTCATCCCCACTCTCCTCAGCCGCTCGTGCCGCAATGGCTCGATCCCTCTCCTCACGCTGGGCCTCCCTCTTGGCCTCCTCCTCTGCCTGCCGTGCTTCCCTCATCGCCTTCTCCTCCGCCTCCACCTCGACGACGATGGCATGGTACTCGCTGAACAGCTGTCGCCTGCGGGGCTCGGCAACCGCCTGGTAGCGAGGGTCGGTGAATATTTGTCGCTTCACCCGGGACCAAATTGATGAAGATGAGATCGGGGGGTCTCTGAGCTCTGGTCGAGTGGAGCACACACCCATGTAGGTTTATATTGAGATTTTGATGTGCATCAAAAGCATCGCCTTACAATAACGTGTGCTGGACTGCTTGTATGTGGCACTGTGCATGCGATGCTTGTCTAAATGAAGTTGTCAGCCACAGTGGCTTGTATGTAGTGGATGGCGGGCACGATACCGATGAAATCAAACCATCATATACGCTGATCTGCAAGATTTAAAGACTGTGTGGTGTCTGCACAGTCAATCAATGTGAGGACTTTATCAGTGACAATAGATGGTCCAATTGAATACTGTAGACAGCTCCATTGTGTTGACAATTTAAGCAACACTGTTTATCTTCTGCACTGTGGCAAGTTGCACAGTTAAATGTGGCGACTGAATCACCAAAGGGGATGGAAATGCTACATAACATTGTGCGGTTGATGAATGCACACTGCAGGGAAACGCAATTATCTGAGTTAATCCTTTACCCTTCCGGTGTTCAAGATTTTCGGTGTGCATACTTATCATCCAGTTGCCATTACAACTTATAGTCGCATGTGAGCGGCCCAAAGGCTATTTGCTTCAATATGGTGATTCTTTAAAGCCCCACACTCACAAAGGCACTTGTGCTAATTCGCACCTTTCAAAAGTACCCTAAACTCCTGCTCTCTCTGCTCCATCATCCTCTGCTCAGCGAAAGCATCTCTTTGCTTGGACACCACTTCGTCGAATATGCTGCGGCGAACTTCTGCTTCTTTGACAGCAAGGAACCGCTCATCCAGCTTCACCTTTTGTTGAGCTTCAGCCCAGGTGGACTCAGCACCGATCCCAATCTCTTCGTACAGGGCCTGCAAGCAGGTGGGCAGGGGCTCAAAACTCTGAGAGCAACATACAAGGGCAATTGCTGGCTACTGGCAGTCTCGGTGCTGGCAAGTTATTGACAGACTACAGAGATGGCTGTGGCATCCATTCAATCCCTGCAAAAGTCTACTAGTCAAACAATGTACCTTAACCTGAAATTTCCAAGACAGCAAATGCACTGCTGGCATTGATGCCCTGTAGTTGTGTCCACAGGTCCAAAGGCAAAGTACAAACAGAACTACAAACTGCATTCTCACAGCACAGCCTGACCCTTAATGCGTCTTCAGCAGCCTTGCGAGCATTTGCCTCCTTTTTCCTGAGCGCCAGTTTGTAGGCCTCAAACATGGTCTCCCGGCGGGGAGCTTCGACTGCAAGGAAGCATGGCTGGGCTCCCAGCTGCCTCTGCACCACAGCCCACTCGGTGGTCCCAGTCACAGGTGGATACATCGAGCGGAGGGCTTCCATGTACTCCAGTTCGATCTTCTTGCGGTGCTTCTGGGCATTGGAATGCAGTCCACCAACAACATTAGTGAGCCAGAGTTCCGAAGCAGGCATGTCCATAACTTGGGACTGAAACAGGATTTTAGCAAGAGTGCACAGTGCAATCCAACCCACAAGCAGCAAACCCCACATACAGAAAATCTCTTGGTGCAATGCGTCCATGGGGTGCAGCAAGCCCAAGCATATGAATGGTGGCAAGAAATCCTGTGTTGCAGCAGGTTATCTGTGAAACAGTCATAGTGTACAGCAATTCTCGCTTCCCCAGCGTATAACTTCCATCATGAGTGGCTGGTGCTGAGCACCGTCGAGCAGGTGAAAAAGCAATGGAGAAACTGGGTCCCAGGAACAAAGGCTGGAAAAGGGTCAGTCTTCCTACCACTCTATTCCTACCTTGGCTTGGGCGGTTTTCTCCAGCTCAGCGATCATTTTCCCTGATTCAACTTTGAGGCTTGATGCCAAAGCGGAACCCAGGTCAGCAGCAATGCGTGCCGCCAATCCTGTGAATCTCTATACAACAAAGCAAGCCTGGCTCACCAACTATGTGACGTGCAGATGAACAATCCAAAACAACGTGGTTCCACAGAATACAGCCTTCATCAACCTTTGATGTACAGGTATGAATCTGTCACATTTAGCCACACTCGGCTGGAGGCAAAGCCCAGCCTCAAAGCATGTGACCGATGTATTTGCGTCGCTGTGGGCAGTGGCGAGAAACACTGGCGACTCAGGATCAGTAAAGAATCCTCAGTTGAGACATCCACAATACAGGCCACGGCACATATATCACACTTTGCAACAGAAGATCACTTGTGCCACTTGGAACAGTGCTTGCTTCCAGGTGTCCCAGAACCATGCCATACACGTTAGCAGTTCTTCCGATGCCAAGTGGCTCACAGTACACTGTTCCCTGCACTCTGATGACAGGGGAATTGGGGCATTTTTGCCAAGCAATATGACGCCCTGTGTAGGTTGTTAGGAACTTGATGCCATCTAACGATTTGACTGCCACAGAAGTGCATGACCTGGCCAATGTCGCATTTCGCATTGCAAATAGGAACACAATCATGCATTCCCTGCACTCACCAGGCCAGCATAGACCAGGTTGGCAGTATCTGGCTTGCTGTCCTGTGCCCCAATTCCAGACTCCTCCTCTGCAGATGCCGGGGCCTGTGATCAAAGCAAAATCAACGTAAATGCAGTAATCACAATATCTGGACCATAAGCAGTTGCCTCAGAGTGCTCAGGTCTCTGAAAGAAAAGAGTGCTGGCCAAAACGGATGGCTGTGATACACGCCAACCAAACCGGGTGCAGGTGCCCATCTCCAGCACAATTCCTGGCAGCATGCTTTTTTCGCAACGGGAGCGATTTCTCATTTCATTAAAACAGTGAATATGGAACAAACCAATTTTTGATTCTTTCACAAGTTGCAAAGCTGATACAAATCTCCAAGCTCTGCGAGTGTTGAGAAGGGAGCAGAACAGTGAGACACCAAGATCAACAGGTATCCAGATGTGTTAAGACAGGATAATTGTGTTGCTGCATCAGCACTTTCTGACGATGTGGTGAGGTCAAGTGTCCCTAGTGAGCAGCAAACGAGAAGGAGCTTCAAGCAGTGGCCTTGCACAGGACACAAAAGTCCTCAAACCCATCAAGTTTCAAGTTCATGATTGCGTCAAAACCATCTCCATCTCTGTGGGTGGACGATTTCCCCATGATTGCTGCTGCATTCTGACGACAGAACCTGCACAGTCAGCTGAAAGTTCTGTGCCAATGGTTGCTAATGTGTTGCTGCTCATGCTAGTCAGATTGTGGCAAGTTACAACACTATGACACTGTCATGCCTCTGCCCAAAGCACGCATTTCAACAGCGAATATGTTCTAAATCTCGGCCTATCTCGGGGCTGCATGCTAACGTTAAACTGATACCAGCCATGGTTAACAAAATCTGTGCCCTGATTGGTGCCATGGATCAAAGCCCATGTACTTCCTCCGTCCCCAAAAGTTTGGCAGCTATGGTTTGCGGTCTTTGAATAACTGTCAAGCCATCTCCAATAGTGCTAAAATTCTGGCCAAATGTTAAATTTTGTGTCAATTTCAATCCACCAAAAAATTGGGTCAATTGGCTGAGTACTGAGCGAGATATGACCCCCCAAGCATGGGCATGTCGAACAAAACTGGCGTGTGGGCCTCAAGGTGGCTCAGAAACTATAGCGTTTGGAGCACTTCAACAACAAATCTGAACCATTGAAACACTTTGCATGGTCCAATAGAAGTGTTAGATGATCTGAAATGTAGCATGAGTTATCAATACTGAATGTTAGTAGTCATCAATTCCTCCATCCCATACAGAATGACAATTATGGCAATTGTGACAATTGTGACCTTGACAAAAACCATCATAACATCCCCCAAAGCGCCCAAATTCTTTCCAGATATTAAAACTTGTGTGAAGGCTTATCCAACAAACTTCTAGATCGGCCAGATGAGTACTGAGGGAGATACGACCCCTCAAACACCGGCATGTCGGACCAAATCTCCAGGTAGCTCAAAAGCGGCCCTGAACATGGTGACTTGGAGACCCCATTACATAGTGGAGAAGTGAGGGCTGCCCACACTCTTCCGCCCACAGGTTGGAACAAAGTTGGACAGATGCAGGGCGGGATGCTAGCACCTCCCGAATGGTGTTATTGACAAACTCACCTATCTCTGCACCATCTTGAGACTTGGACGACATTTGGACTGGCATGCTTGTGTGTTTGAGGGATCGCATCTCTATCAGTACTTAGCCGATTGATCCAACATCCTGGTGGGTCGAAATTGATACAAAAATTAACATCTGGTCAAAATTTGAGTGCTATCGGGGATGTTTTTATAGCTTTTTTCAAGGCCGCAAAACATAACTGCCAAAGTTTTTGGGACAGAGGAAGCATGATGCAACAGCCCATCGCTGTTCCCCGCACAATTATCTGGGGCATCACAAAAGTGAGCCAACAACAGTCCCCACCTGAGTGGTTGGGCTACTGTCAATTCCTGCTGCAGAGGCATCATCTTCTAACAGTCCAGCCCCAGCAGAGTCAGCAGTCTGCAACGTTTCTCCGCTTTGGACCTTACCTCCCTTCCTGGAATCTACAATGAATCCAAAGCTTGGAATCAGCCCTCAAAAACTGGGAAAACAAGCCATCCCTACTTGGAAACCAAAGCACATGCTCTTTTGTGCTGTGTTCTCAGCACATCACTCAACAGTGCAAGCTCAGAAGCAACAGCCGACATCTGAACAGCGCGCTGTGCTAGTGTACACAATGGTGAATAAGCACCCATACACCACCATCACTACAGTGTACACCCTACAGACCACCCTTGGAATGCACGCATTAAATTTGAAGCTGAACCCAACACAACTACAGTGTCACATCATTCCTTGCTTTGGTGAATGCACATGCTGAACCATTAGGCAGCACATGGGCATTCACACAGAAGATTGTTAAAGCCAGCTAACACAAAAGTCAAAACACATGGCTACCGTTAAATGCACTGTGCCCTCGAACACCACATGGTGGGGATCTGCCCAGATAATCATCTTGTGGTTAATGCTGTGCTATTTGCCTTCGACAATAAACTTCCAGAATCGGTTTGGGTCATGATAGCCAGGGCAATGTCCAGCTGCAGATCCAAGGTGCATCTGCATCCCAATAAACTATACGATGAAGTACAACAGCTTATTTTTTAAGGAACTGGTTGGTTCACAAATTGGTGCACAAAGACAAGGTATCTACCCAGCATTTTGGGGTCACAGATCCACAGACTGATGCAACTGTGCTCAGTGTGCCAGCTATTAAATCGCAATGCCTTGTAATGTGAACAGAATAATCCACTACCTGAAGTTGGTGAGAGCAGCTTTCCAAAGGATTGCCCAAAACTCTTCACCAGCCCAAACATGCTGAAGGCCTTGTCAGATGTGTCCTCGAATTCCTGCTGCAGCTCTCCGAGTTTGGATTCCATCTTAGCAAGCGATTGCTCTGCACTCTGCAGTTCACCTTTCTGTGCCTTTCCCTCAGCCACCTTCTCTTTGAGCTTCATGACAGTTGTTGTCTGGCGCTCTGTGGCAACTGCCTGCGCAGTACCCAAAGAACGTCAGATGAGAGCGGAAAGCTGGACGCAATTCCTTTGGCTGTGGTTGAACATCTTGGCTAAACATCTGCATGCAAGCACGGGGCGTTCAAGACTAACGTGTGCACACAAATTGCATTTCTCAATATGGTTTTCAAACTCATCGTGACAAGTACTGATCTGTGTCATTCCTTAAGCACTTACTGGGTAGAAACAGATGTCCATATCATGTCTCACAGTGTGGGAAGGGACCTCGAATTGAGGTTCCTTTCCACATTGCTAGGCATGACCTTTTTGGGGTCCACAATGGCCATTGAGTATGAGGGTAGTTCCGCGCGTATTCTTTGTCTTTCTTTTTGGGAAGTCGTGGGCACATCTTTTGGATGAACACATTCTTTTCTTTCATCAGATGGTGGAAGGCCTGCTTGACAGACAGCTGGGCAAAGCACAGCCAGCTGATTATTGGCAATAGGAAGAACAAACATGGGTAAACACCACAACCACATCGGCATACTTCTTGGCGGAAGCTATATGAGTATGATGTGAGCCCATGGAGTGCAAGACATACCTGCTTCAATATTCTATCTTCAAGATCAAAGAGTTTCCGAACAAAGCCTTTGAGAGCTCGGAAGGACCTCTGCCTAGACTCTTGAGGAGCTCCAGCAACCTGGGACAAGAGCAAGAGCTGTGCTTAACATTCGACACAAAATTAGCACAAGTGTCAAAGCAGCTCCAGGAAATTCCCCTCGCTGATCTTTGGTGTGTCATTGGTTGTCTATTAAGAAACATTGATATGATTTAAAAAATGACAACATTTACACAGGCAGGCACTCTCGAGAGACATATATTGTTGCCTTCCAGATGACCAGGCTTTGTTCCATGCATGTCACCTATTTAGTTAAAATGAAAGCCATAGGGGTGCGCACAGCAATATAGTGAAGCACATTGGGAAAACAGCAAATTCGAAACATCGATTTTCATATTTAGAAACTCAGCGACAAAGAGGCAACTGCAAATTTCCATTCGATTTCGATGCTGTTTCCTAATCTTGTTGATTAGTGGGTGACTGATCACTCTCTGAGGCACTGGGCGATCGATAGCACCAAAAAACGCTGTCAGTCGAATCCAGAACTCAGACCACAAACACAAAGAAGCAAACTGTCAGCAGGGCTTGGTTGTCTAATCCTGCGATCAAATTTTTGTACATCTGTCAATAGCAACAAAGATCTGCCCAATTGCGACATGACAATGAAGGGCACATTGCCATCATCAATGGGGGCTCAGTGCCACAAAGATCACGACTGCCTCAACGATCAAGCAGTTGGTCCATGCATTTTCACCATTCAAACTGTTCACTCTTAGTCAGCTGAAGGATGACATAGACATTTGTCATTCAGACCATTCACTCATAGTCTGTGGAACGATGACACAGGGAACTTGGGCAAACACTGATTGGACCCTCTGCAGCTGGCAGCATCTGCCAGGCACAAAGCCTTGTTTGGTATGACCATTCTGACAGTTGCGATCCATTGAATATATGGACAGTCTTCGCCTCAATGCCACACCAGAAACTGGATAAACGGCAAGCCGTGACGTCACCTGCTGGAAGAAGCGATGCCTCAGTGCCTCTGACACAGAAATCCTTGGGGCTGACTTATCATCACCAAACCTCACCCCGCCATTCTCATCCGTCTCAATCAGCCTTGGTCGCAGCATTGCCTCTGCCAGGCTCCAACCAGCCCCACCAGCGACATCGAGGGCAGGTGACTGATGTGAGGCACTGGCACCCCGCCTCCAGATTGTCATGTCATAGTTGCAGCGATGGTAGCTGGTATTGAACGACTTGAGGGCACTTGTGGTGCGCAAGGAGGGCAGGCAAAGTTGCAAGAAGATGAGGCCTGGATGGGATGTACAAGGGAAATGTGAGTTGAGTCACAGGCACCAGCAACATGAGATGCTGATGATATCAGGCCTCAGCATCAAACTAACGCTTCCCTTATTTTTGGCTGCCCAACAATTAGTAGTTCCTTTTTCAAATCGTGTTCTCAAGACATTTTTCTTGGGTTTGAATAGCCTGTCCTGTAGTCAGTGTACTGTAAACACCAAACCAAAACGTAAAATACCCAGAGCTTCACCAAACAATGGCAGTACTATATTGTTACCACAGTAGTACATTCTGTTGCCTCGGTAGTTTGTGCACTCTGAGTCTGAAGCTCAAACGTCACCAGCGCTTGACAAGAATATATCATCAGCACAAAGAGTACTGCAATGACTTCATGTCTTGCACAGCTATCTTTCACAACTAATGGTCGGCGTGGGTGGTCGATGCCAGCAAGGCAAGATGCACAATGCCACTGCCCCTTTGGCTGCATCAAGACAGCATACTACAGAACAGGAAAAGGGCCTTCTTACTGGCTGGGGTGTTTTGGGCAGTGTGGCTGTCCCAAACAGGGGCAAAATTGGGCAATGGTAAAGATGGGGAGAGGTGCATATGGCATTGCTTGCATCTTGGAATGAAAACAGCTTGTTGAACACTTGCGCCAGATACACCAAGATACAGGCAAACACAAAAAACATGTACTATAGTTTTGACCTAACTTAGCAGTGAAAATGACAGACATGCACTGGAAACGAACACTTGTGCTTTGTGCACTGGTAACCAGGAGGGAAACAATGCCTAAAGGTGCATTTGATCCTTGCCATGTTGACATCACTGCAATGTGGTTAAGTTCACTGTTGATGCAATATGCAACATTGGCAACTGATTTGCTGATTAGCTCGTCGACTGACCCACTAAATAAATGACCCAGCCTTTGACTGGTCCACCAACTAGCCCACTGACCCACTGACAAGACCATTGACGGAACAGCTGACTGACCGGCCAACTGTTTGACTGTCTGCCCGTCTTGACTGATGGCAAGCAAGCACAGGACTTGTGTTTCATGGCCTCACCTGCCGAATAGGTGTCGAATCTATCGGGCTTGTGCATTGCCCACAGCATGGGAGAGATTGCCATCGCCAGGGGGCTCTTCGCAAGGTTTGGTGCATCTGTTGGCAGCACATACTGTGCGCCAATTAACAGCAAGAAAAATCGATTCAGGACTCCTTATCAACGACACAAAACAGTCGCCAGGCACTGAAATGGCCTGACATTGCCAAAAATAAGTGCAAGACCAACGCTTTGTCGAAATTTGATGATGTTACCAACAGTGATCCAATTCGCAGAAGATTGCCAGGTTGTCAAGCCCTTGCTGCATGGTATAGGTTGCAGATCTGATGCTGCCAGTGGCACCCCAACAACAGACAGGTGCAGTGCGGCGATGCCATGTGTATATATCGGTCGATTGCAGTTGCAAAATGACCAAGGATGGCCCATGAACATTCAATGCGATCCTGCCTGCAACCCAACGCACATCATGTCCCGAATGAGAACTCCACAGCTTGTGCTTAAGCCAAGCTGAGACTGCAGACAGAAATCCAGCATTGTGCCTTATGAGTGCTGAGAGTTCCATTATAATGTGGAAGGGGAAAGGTGTGCCACATCTTGTTGGCAACTGCAGGACAACAAGACCCCTTTCCTATTCCAACACAATGCATCACATACAAGAATCCAGGTGCCACACCCATCCCCACAGAAGATGTGTGAGCCTCGTGCCACGCCACAGGAAAGAATGAGGTGATTTTGTGCCAAAGAGACTGATCGCATGAAAGAAAGTGCGCAATGTGCATTCCCAAAGCACACATACACGAAGTACACAACACTGGCACTCGAGGGTGGGGGCGGGCAGGGAAGCCCGTGAAACGCCTCGTCAAAAGGAAGGGCCAGCCAAAGCAAAGTTGGCTGATGGTTTCACCTGTTCAGGAGCACAGTAGTGCGGGTCAAGGATGGATTCATCTGGGACATAATTTGTCCCTGAGCGCAGGTCAGCGCACGCCCCAAGGTCGATGAACTTAAACTGTTTGGTCTTGTCGCAGAGGAGCAGGTTTGCTGGCTTGACATCACGGTGCACAAGGCCTGCAGCATGAAGGCCCTGGGCACAAGGGGTGACAAATCAGCTTTGGGCGGTCAGCACCATCGCCGCCTCATGCTTGCAAGGGCTTTGTTCAGTCCAAGGGAGAAATGTGATCGACAAAAGTGCAGCCAGTTGGTGATTAGGCCACTTCTAACAGTTAGGAACTGCAGGGGGGGCTTTGAAAATGCTGCAGCTCACTGCCTTGTGGATGCCAGGATACCACTGGGGACGGCCAGCAAATCCAACAAAGCTAAAAGAGTTCAGCCTGTTGCTGTTGATAACTATCAAGGCATGTCCATGTAGATGCAAATCTGCTTCGATTGCGTTTGTGAGAATGAGACAAGTACTGCCTTTGTGTCTTGAGGGTTATCACTGGCGTGGCCAGAGCTGTTTCTCTATTCTTGGCGATTGGCATCAAAAGATTGACAGAATTCGCCCAAGCATCCATCAGCCCTGGCAATGCCCACCTGCAGGCACTGCAGGATCTGCTTGAGGACGACCGATGCGACAGTATCCTCAGGGACACCAAGGTCCATGGCCAAAGCACTTGTGCAGTCACGTCGCCTCAAGTAATGCGCAAGTGTCTGGTCCCCTTCGTACTTCCAGATCTACAGCATCACCAAGGTCAGAAGGTTCCGCAAGAGCAGGGGAAAACAGAGCAGAAGGCGGATAAGTTCAATCTGCTGTATCGAAAACAACAGCATGTTCACACATAGAGCAGGTGGAGTCTGGAGATGTTTCCCAGGGTTTTGCTGCCATTCTTTCTCACCCTGTTGTAACACAAACCCCAGACAGACATCGTACTATACATGTCTGTATCACTCTTCTGTGTGCAAAGATCAAGGCCTCTGACTGCGTTGAAGTCCAAGTATAGTGCTGTCCAGGTCAGCATCACACTCTCTTGATCTGTTTCTGTGCTTTAAACTTTCCTGTGCCCTAACACAATAGCGATCCTGCATACATTTGATACAGATTTGGTAAGCAATACACACAACTTGCTTCCTACAAGCAAAAAATGGACTGCATTCACATCTTCCCCATTGTCCACAACAGCATCTCCCTCCCACCCCTCCAAACAATGCAGGAACAATGTACACGGCTGGGTTGCTCACTGGACGTGCAGTGGTAGACCTGCATTTACTAATTTCTATGCATGTGTTGATTTATATCTATTTGTTTGCAAATTTTTGCAACACAAATTTGTTGGAATGGGCCCTCCATTCAGGACTCAGACCTCACCAGCCACAAGCCCTCCGTCAGCCTCCCCCTTGCTTCACTCCCATCAACTCCACAGTACCCAATGAAGTCAGCAACGCACCCATTGGCCACACGTGTGGCATACACATTGAGAACGTGTTCCATCTCGCCCATCTCCTCTGCCCCCTGGTTGCGCACACAGGTACTGCATACATTCATATGCCCTGATCTCCACCTCAACCCTATGTCACCTGACGCCAGGTGCAAGGGCATTGTCTGGTACTGTTTTGGCATATGCAATCCCCGCACGTATCAACCTCGATCCCAATTCACATCTGAAGCCAGCTCCGATGTATTTGTCATAACATGTCAAGCACTCCAGTGACATACATTAGGCGATGTTGGGCATCATAAACGACTAAGCACGTCGAAAGATGCATATGGCTTCATGCTTTCCAAACATCCACAATGTGGTTCATCAAGTTGCCACAACAACAGTACCTGAGCAACAGCCCGCATTCCCCAGGATCGAAACAACTGGTTGCAGCTTTGCACAATCTTTTTTGGTTTACATTTACTTTCCCAGAGCAAAAAGAAGGCCATTTGCCTTCTCAAGGTGAAGTGGTCCCATGCAGGCACACACAAAAGGCAAGGATTGTCAACATCGACAAATGAGAGGAATGACCCACATGTTTTCCTTAATCTCACAGCCCACTGACCTCCTAGAGTAAGCTACAGCGGCCACACTCATCTCAGCAGGCCAACAACGACATGGGCCTATTCTGAAGTGCACTTTCGGCACTGTGACATCCCAAGACAGGGAAATTGGGAGGCCATGTTTGAAATTTAAAGTACTTCACAAGGATGTAAGCATCCATAGGCCCATCACTGTGCAGTGTTGAGGTGTTTTCACTCAGACATCAGACCACACAAACAGAATTCAGAATCAAATTGTGTGAATGTGCCGAAACCACAAACCCAAATGGCGGATGGCATTCATCTTGTGACAGAGGCGAGAGTGGCAGCGGAAAGCAATACAATGGCCAACACCTGTGAATCTAGCCAGCTTCAAGCCCGCGCAACCTGTCTTTGAACCATTGGCTATTCCGTGGTTACAGGGATCTCAAAACCTGAATTGGCAAACGGCATCCGAACCGGCATGAGAGGTTCGAAACCGATTGTTCCAGATTAGGGATCCACATGATTCCGCAGGGATCGACGGTCAATCTCCCGTGCAAATACCGGGCCCCAAAGTCCAAGCTGCTGGCGCCGAGACTGCTGCCACCAGCTCTACAACCAACCCTGTCGCGGATCTCCAAGGGCCGCCGTCCATTTCGCGCTGTTCAAATGCGCTCCGAGCGCCACAAGTCACGCATTGCACGCCGCACGCACCGTCGCGTACACAAGCCGTCGTCCGGCCATCGACCAACGACATCCCCCGCAGGCAGGGCTTCGCGCCGCAGCGCACGCCCCGCGCGCTTCCCATCCCAGTCCGTGCACAAAAATGGCGCACAGGGCCTGAACAACTCACATCGACCCGCCTCTTGACGCGCTTCAGCACCACCCGCCTCTCGCCTCTGGCTCCAGACAACGTCCCCTGCCGCAGCACACAACACGCAGCGGCTCAATCCCCCTCTCTCTCTCCACCATCCATCTGCCCTTCCCCACCCGACGACCGTGTTTTCCGAGCAAGAACCCTGCGCACCTCGAAAACCTGTCCGAACGACCCCTCGCCCATTATCCGATGCACCTCCACGTCCCGCGCCATGTGTCGCCGGCCCTTGGACTGCAGCCGCGCCTCGATCCGGCATCCCTCACGCAGATACGCTGGTGGCCGCGACCGCTCGGCGGTGGCCAACGGGCCCGCAGCCCCGCTGGCGAACTCGCTCCTGCCGGCGCCGATCGACACCCTGCTGTGGCCGCATGGCTGGCTGCACGCCTGGACGCGCCTGGTGTCGATCGACGCGCGGCGGTGTCCCGGTGCGTCGCCGCGTGCGGCGGTCCCCGCGAAGTCCAGCGAGGCGCGCATGGCGCGTTGTTTCGAAGTTGAGATTGGTAGGATTGGTCTCCTGGTGTGCGCTTGTGGGAATGGGATAGGCTGGTTGAGGTGGGCGGTAGGCGGGGGAGGGCGCCTGGGAGCTCCCTCGCGAAAGGGAGCCGGGACAGGACGGCCGACACGCGACTGCGTGCTGTCGAGCTGAATCCAAAAAGCGGGGTCAGGGGTATCACGTGCTCGGGGCAGCGTCACACGGATTCGGTGCGTTGAGAAGCGGGTCCATTGCGCAACACGATACGCCGCGCTCTGATACGCCCCCCATGGGCGGAGACTTCTCCAGTATCCGTGTTTTAAATCTCGGCCCACCCGTTTTTAACGATTCTTCACCTTTTCCAGTTTATCAATCGGGTCCATTGCGCAACACGATACGCCGCGCTCTGATACGCCCCCCATGGGCGGAGACTTCTCCAGTATCCGTGTTTTAAATCTCGGCCCACCCGTTTTTAACGATTCTTCACCTTTTCTAGTTTATCAATCGGGACGGGATGGCGCACTCAGGGCGCTTGACCAAATCTCAGCAGCTAACAAACACTCATACACACTCTGTTTCAGGCACCTTTGAATGCCCTCACACCGATTCGCCAAATGTCTCTCTTTACATTAAAATCAAGCCAAATATCATGGGCCGAGGTGGGCGGGAGCGAAAAACGAGATAGCCACAAGCTCGTTTCGCCAACCTTAAGTCCCAAGTTCCCTATTTACCCGGATCACTGTGAACCAGCTTTCCAGTGGTGCAAACTGCAATTCAGTTCGGTTCCTGGGCTTTATGACCAACCGCGCCTGGTTCGCCAAGGCGCTGCCCATAACTTGACCACAACTTTAAGAGTTGCGCCAAACTCTCACTCACTGGGCCTCTGCTTTCCAAGCTTGAGAAACGGCAGCACCATCCAGTCTAAATCTAATTGCACCAAGTACTAAAACCTTTGCTGGCCGTTCAAAGGTTCCCGCCCAACGGCCCTGTTCCCGATTTAAACATATTCACTGCATTACATTATGTAAATTTCGCGAAAATCCCAGCCTCTCCTGCCCCTGCCGACAACGCTATTTCGGGAAAGCGGCGCACATCCTGGGCTTGGGGCATGACCGGCAGCCGGCCGCGGTCATGATCGCGTCAAAATCAGGGTTCTGTGCATTGGGCACCAGCACAACAGGGCGGGCAAGGGGACCCCCCCGACTCCCTATGAATGACAAGCACTTTGTCTTCAGTTGGATGCGGGACTGACTGGTGGACATCGCTGCTGCATTGCTCTCCGCAAACTGCACAGCTCTAGAGTGTTGTGCCCTAATCGTGTTGTCTTGCTTGCCATTAGTCCAGAAATTGCTTTCCTTGTCACTTGTATTTGCTGGCTACATTGGAGCTGGTTAGATGGTATTGACCCCACAACATCAGTTTGGGTTTCGTTGTTGTCTGGGTTCTGCGATTTGGTGGTGCATACTTTGTATTGCAAAAATCTAAAGACTGGTGCTCTTACAAAACGGACTGTGGTCTTGATAAATTGCGGCTACAGGTTGCACTATTTCTGTTTGCTTATTTTCTACCCTTTTGATCCTGATCACCATGTTTTTTGCAAGAAAAAATAGCCAACTCAAGTCAACTGCTCATTTGTCTGCCTAGCACCTACAAAGGTGCATGTGCGAATTTGGGGTTGACAAATGACATGAAAGTAATCATGTATGTTGTTTGTTTCAATTGCCGTGCTGAAGCAGGTATTGATAGAATATTAGTTTCAAACAAACATTCTTTGGGAATCATACCCTCATTTGATGTGCACTGAAGAATATAGTTTCCAAGCACTGTTGCATGTTTATTGGCAGAAAGCTATATTAGTCTCCTCATTTGTATCATTTTGGTTTATACAGGCGTGCACTCCCAACACCATCGCCGTTGGCTTCTTTTCTGCTGGTGTGATAGCAACACTTGCATTCATGCACATGTTGGCAACGGTAGATGCATTGGTTGTGAAAGAAACAGACAAATTTCAGTATTTGTTGACAAGCAGCCTGATGGGCATTGAATAGAGCTTCAATGATTTACAAGGAAACTACAGAACAATTGTGGGGAACAAGAGAATACTTCCTCTGTCCAAGATTAATTGTCCACTATGACTTTGCCGCCCTACATCTCCATCACAGATACTTCATTTTTTAACGAAATTTCTGCCAATGGTAAGCCTATATTTCGGGAATATACGGTCAAAATTTCAGGTCAATCCGTTTAATATTGAGGATTTGGCAGCACTTTGTAGTAGGGTCCTCCCGCCAGAAACCCACCCATTTTTCAACAAAGTCACCGAAACAGCCGTTTTCGCGATGGGGAGGGGCACGATTTTGCGGCGGCCAAACAAGACCGCCCATGCAAAACTATCCATGCCATTTGGACAGAAGGTTGGAGGGGTCCCTGTGAACAAGCAAAGTGGCAGAAAACGTGTCTTGGTGGGCTTGATCGTGGAAGTCGCCATGGCTTCGTTGACCTAATTCGAGATCGATTGGCCAGTTCAGGGTTGCATTCCCGGCCCAGATTTCTGGGCCGTGACTTTTCGAACTCCATCACCACTATGAGAGATACCGTGCAAGGCCTCCCAAGCCCCTTGAAGAGGTGCGAAGGAATTTGATGGCCATCACCCTAATCTATGGAGGATGATTGGGGGAATGGCTTGGATTGGGGGATGGCAAAGTCGGCCCTTGCCGCGACAATTGAAAAGGTGGAACATGATGCGAACAGTCAGATTAAGCTTCGTGTGTCGCCGCTTAAGTTACGGTTCAGGGCGTTCGCTTAACGCCCTTTCGCTACCCTTTTCCCTTCTTCCCCCCCCCTTTATTTATTTCCCTTAGGTTGTACACGCGTCATACCTCGGCCTATTTGTATAACCCATAAGTAGCTATATTCCCCCCCCGTCTTATCATTGGTGCTTATGTTAATGTTGCTCCCTCTCTCATTACTGTCACGGTCGCCCCCCCCCCCTTGTGATGTTGCCCCCTCCTCCCTTGAAGCAAGACGTCCAACCTTTTTTTCTAAATGGGGGCGCTTTCTAGTCCAACTTTTGTCACCTCACTCCCCTAACACCAGAACTACACTAGGGGCTGACCCGGGCCCACCGGCGATAGCCACCTAGCCTC